ATTTTACGATTCTTTCAATTTACAGTTCTGATATTTTGAGATTCTGTGAATATCCTGTTCTGATTTTTTGCTATTCTGTCAATGTACGGTTCTGACATTTTACTATTCTGTCGATAAACGGTCTGTTGTATTTCGATTCTGATAAAGTACGGTCTGCTAATGTGCGGTCTGTCATTCTGCGATTCTGACGAATTACGGTCTGTGTTGTTATGATTCTGACGAAATATCATTCCGCTGTGATGTTGGTTTGTTAGTTTTCGATTCTGTATATTTTCGGATCTGCGATATTGCTATTATAGAAAAATACACATCTGCGCATTTGCAATCTGTTATTGTCTGGTATGCTCATGTACATTATACAAAATACGGTTTGAGGGATTGCGGTTCTGTGCATCTACAGTAGAGATAAATACGATTCCTATAAAATATTGTTCTGTTAAGTTACTGGTTTGAAAATGTATATTCTGATGGATTACGGATCTGCGATTTTACATTCTGGTGATTTGTGTGTTCCCGTAGGCATGTCAGATGCTAGAATGCGAAGTTACAGTGTGGACATAGTCGAAGTCAAAGTATCTTGTTCTGCCTATTGTGTGCGTTATACCCGCTTCGATGTCGTCTTATATAATAGTTGCGAACTCATATGCTCCAAAGGTATACATGTGAGATGATATAATACAGAGGATACAGTGTGCGGAATGATGTTGTCGAAGTATCTTTATTTGCCTGTTGTTCTCGTTATAAGTCCTTCAAAGTCGTCTCATATGGGCAGTGCGATCGCATCTGCTATAACTGAAGGCATGTCAGATGCTAGAATGCAAAGTTACAGTGCAAATATAGTCGAAGTCGGAGTTTCTTGTTCTGCCGTTGTGTGCGTTATACTCGTTTCGATGTCGTCTCATATGATCGTTGCGAACTACCATGCTACAAAGGTATTCATGTAAAATGTTACAAAACAGAGATACAGTGTGCAGACGGATGTCGAAGTAGTAGTAGTAGTAGTAGTTTAGTAGTAGTAGTAGTAGGTTTATTCAGATAAGTACATAATTTTATATAACAGGATATTAATACATATCAAGTTAAAATAGTGAACCAGGCTGAGCTGCCTAAGCAGAGCTTGTATTGCAGTCATCAACCTGGATTGAAAAGTATAATATTATATTCCAATCAATTACCGGCTGAATATACATATACATATATACAAATATTTTATGTGATGTAAATAGAGTTATGAGAGGAGATAACATATAACATATTGCTTATATCTTGGAAATTGTCAATCGAATTCATATACAGTTTTGAGTATGTTATGGTTCTGATTTACATATTCTTTCAGTTTCAACTTCATTTCTCTTTTGTTAGAAATACGTCTGATTTCAATAGGGACAAGATTCACCAGTTTAGGGCCAATATATGATATAAATTTCTGTGTATGAGTTTGTCTACAAAAAGGAACATTTGTTTTGAGTTCAGACTTAGCACGTGTGTTAAACTTGTGGTTCACATACGATATAGACTCATTTTGCATCAAAATCAGGCAGTGATAGGTATACAGTTTTCTCACACTCAATAGGCCAGTTTCCTTGTAAAGTGCATCAGTGTAGTATCTCTTACTTTTCATGAATATAATTTTCAAAATAGTATTTTGCATTACCTCAATGATATGTAATAGGGTTTTATTGAGACCACCCCATATAATAATACAATATCTCAAAATCGATTCAGCAAGTGAATTATAAATCATTAACAGAAGCTTCCGATTATTGAGATTCCTGAGTTGATAGAATTTATATATTAGGTTTTTTAGTCTTTTGGCTGTACAATCTATATGGTTTTTCCAACGCAAATGCTGATCTACATGTATACCTAAATATTTGATGTTATCAACTTCTTTTATCTTAGGGCATGAATACTGTATAGAGTATTGGCAGAGATGTTTATGAATAGTAATTGTGTTTTTCGAAGGTTGATCTTTTTCTGTAGGGGTGGAAGTAATAAACTTTGTTTTATCGACATTCAGACTCAAAAGACTCATATTTAACCAGGAATAAACAGATATGAGCCCCTTCTCTGCTTTTTGATAGACATTATCCCATGAATCACCCACAAATAATAGAGCAGTATCATCTGCATAAGATATTATACTAGCATCGAAATTTTGAAGTTTATAAAAATTATTGATATAAATCAAAAAGAGAATTGGTCCGAGTACTGTGCCCTGTGGCACCCCCATGGTGATTGGTAGCGGGTCACTATAAACATTATTGATTTTCACTATCTGCTTCCTATCAGATATATAATTTTTGAATAACATGAGACTAGTTCCTCTAACTCCTAATAATTCTAAGCGTTTGATTAAAATTCGATGGTTGACAGTATCAAAGGCTTTGGCCAAATCTAGGAAAACTGTTAAGCACTTTTTTTCATTATTGAAATTATTCCATATTCTATGGACTCATTGAAAGATAGCATTTTCGGTGGACATATGTTCTCTAAACCCAAACTGTGATTCATTAATAATATTGTTTTTTTCCAAAAAATCGATGAGTCTATTTTTCACACATTTTTCAAAGATTTTGGCAAAATTATTGATGATGGTTATCGGTCTATAATTAGTTGTAAGTTTTTTGTCTCCAGACTTGAAAATTGGGGTAGTTATAGAACCCTTGAAAGCAACAGGAACATGTCCAGTAACAAAACATATATTAATAATGTGACACAGAGGGCTTAAGAGATACAAGTGATATTTTTTTATGAATTGGGCAGCAATACCATCAGGACCAGATGAACTACTATTTTTCAGGGTAGATATAATTTTTATCATTTCATTTGTTTTCACCGGATTTAGAAATAATGAGTTAGGTATATTTGATTCTGTTACCGCAAGAGTGTCGTGTTTATCAATTTTATCCGCCATCTGTTGACCAATATTAGTAAAAAAATTGTTGAAGTAATTCGATTTTTCTTTATCATCAAACATTGTTTGTCCACTCTCATTTGTGATATTATATTTGTCCTTGCATTTTGACTAACTGTTCGTCATTTCATTGATATTTTGCCAAATTTTCCGATAATTTTGTTGTGCATCACGAATATTATTCATGTAATAGTTATTTTTATGGGTTTTAATCAGATTGTCCAGATAGTTTCTATAGTTCTTATATTCTGAGTGAAGTTCTTCTGTATATGTTTTATTGTCATTGTCATTGTCTGGATCATTTGAATTCAGAATATCAACCCAGTTTTCGTTTTCAAGAAATATCTTGAGTTTTCTTTGATTAATGAAAGTGTTGGTAGTTAGGGCAGTGTTGTCTTTGTTTGAGTCAATTGAAACTGTCAATGTTTTAATCGAAAGCATAATCGTATAATGATCGGATAAATCAGTTCTGAAGATGTATGAGTTCAATAAAAGTTTATCTGGATTAAGTTTTGCCGATGCTCTTATGTAAATATGATCAATCAGACTGGAAGTGTCTTTAGTTACACGGGTTGGCTTATTGATGTGAGGAAAGTACCCTTGATTTGCCATCAAACATATGTAATTGTTACTGTTAGTATCCGAAGTGTTCATAGTATTTATGTTTATATCTCCCATGAAGATATCTACATCAGCTTTTATTTGATCATACAAAAAGTGTTCAATTTTTTCCAGGTACAGAATTACGTTAGTAGAAGAAGGACGATAACAAGCCGTTATAATGAAGGACATATTTTCCCATGTATATTCCACCTCTAATAATTTGATTTCGGAAAGATGTCTTATTGAGCTAATATAATCTATATTACTTTTGACGTATATAATAACTCCATCGTTTTGGTTGAACTTGGATTCGTTATATAATATGTCAAATTCTGGAATCTTGAAATCATCCAAATTTCCAACTGACCATGTTTCAGAAAGAATAATAACATCTATGTTAATTGTTTTGAATGTTTCGATATATAGCAAGAGCTCATCAAAATTTTTGCTCAAACTCCTGATATTAAAATGAACTATGTTACAAAATTCCTTGCCAGCAAAAAGTTTCACGTTATTATCAATGTTATCGAGTACCACAGTATCTCTCCCCTCATTAATCTCTGAATCCGATAGATAATCGATCATTTCATTCATTCCATCAATTGTGGAGAATTAAAAAAAAATAATTGAATTAACAAAAAAAAAAAATCAGAGAAGATAACAACAACAAAAAACACAGAATTCATGAAAATTATTCCGAATAATTGAATATATTCAGGACCAGTGATATTATGCATAAATAGATTAAATACTGTCTGTAGGTTAATCGAGGAGGTGGTACATTCATTTTACTTGGTTCTTTGGGATTTTCTCTCCTTGTTTCTATAAAATAAAGGTATTCGTATTATTTCAATATATTTGTAGAGGGACAAATCAGATGATTTGCCCCAAAATGTCACTGCGTTTAACAAATTTTTCTATCAGGGGGTCTGAAAGAAAAATCCAGTAGCTTGTCAGTGACAATTTGTTTGAAAAAATTTTTGAAGAAAAGAAATATGGATATATTGAAAAAATATCGAATTTGTACTTATCTTTGGACGTTTCGGGACCGATTCTGCTCCCGTTCTCAACATGTAAATGCAAATTTTTTTTCAGCACAACTTTCGAAGAAAAATAATTTGCATTTACATGTTGAGAACGGGAGCAGAATCGGTCTCGAAACGTCCAAAGATAAGTACAAATTCGATATTTTTTCAATATATCTATATTTCTTTCCTTCAAAAATTTTTTCAAACAAATTGTCACTGACAAGCTACTGGATTTTTCTTTTAGACTCCCTGATAGAAAAATTTGTTAAACGCAGTGACATTTTGGGGAAAATCATCTGATTTGTCCCTCTACAAATATATTGAAATAATACGAATACTTTTATTTTATAGAAACGAGGAGAGAAAATCCCAAAGAACCAAGTAAAATGCATAAATAGATTGCTCCTGGCCATTGATTTAGTTCCATAGTACTAGAAAAAGAAGACTGTGCGTCATTTATTCTGTGAATACTTGATGATGTCAGAGATATCCTTGATGTTGACCTTGCTTCCATTTAGCTTCACATAAATTCTCCCTTTAAAAGTCCACACTTCTCTTTCTCCAAAGGCTGCTTTTGCTTCAAGTAGGAGAGTTTTGCGTATCTTGATAAGATCCTCAGCAACAAATATTTTTTGTCCTCTCAACTTCCCAACATTTTTCATGACCAGAAACTTTTGTCCATAGTAGAGAAATTTGAGAATGACAGGTCTGGGTTTATCATTTGAACCTTGTTTTCCTTTTCTGAAAGCAGTTCGTATATCTTCTTTTTCGATAGGTATTCCGCAATTCTGATTGAAAATATGCAGCAATCTTGAATTTAAATCTTCATCAGTTTGTTCGGACATCCCGTATAATATACATATATTATTGATTTTCTCCATCTGTTCGAAATCAGCCATTTTTTGTTCTAGACCATTAATCTTATCTTCCATACTTTTTACGTTGTCCTCAAGTCTCTTCATTTTTTGTTCAATTTTATCAGTTATCGTTTTTGTAATTTGACTTATAAATTCCTTACTTGTGAATAATTCGTTGATTGTTTTCTTGATCAAATTTTGTAATTCCATTTTGTTCCTTGTACCTGACATTTTGGAACGCTTTCATAAACACAGGAAAAACTTCAAAACACTGGACTGTTAATTTATCCCTTTTTCAGTAATTCAGACTAATAGATAACTACGTTTTGAGGCAGGAGCAAAACAGTTTGCGTCTATTCACTGCGAGACATATACCTGAACTGAAGTATCTTCACTTGTCAGTAGTTCTCGTTATATGTCCCACGAAGTCGTCTTATAATATGGTCAGTGCGATCGTTGCTATAGCTGTAGGCAAGTCAGATGCTAGAATACGGAGTTACAGTGTTAGCATAGTCGGGGTCGAAGTTTCTTGTTCTGCCTGTTGTGTGCATTATACCTGCTTCGATGTCGTCTTATATAATAGTTGCGAACTCATATGCTCCAGAGGTATTCATGTGAGATGATAGAATACTGAGATACGGTATGCGGACTGATGTGGTCTAAGTATCTCCACTTGCCCATTGTTCTCGTTGTATGTCCTTCGGAGTCGTACTATATGGTCAGTGCGATCGTATCTGCAATTACTGTGGGCATGTCAGATGCATGAATGCGAAGTTACAGTGGAAACACAGTCGAAGTCGAAGTTTCTTGCTCTCCCTGTTGTAAGCGTTATTTTGATCCAGGAAACACTAGACAATGTCTACCTATGAGATGTATAACCGACTTATTATCAAGATTGATAAATTCGAAGTTCTGGCGAACACGCCGGTTTGCCGACTCTTGATTGTTGGAATCGAAGTTTCTGGTGGATATGAAAAAGTATAGTACTCCACTCACATATAATGAGCTGTCATATTATATACTTCTTGAATAGGCATTTAAGAAGCTAGAATGCAAAGTCACAAAGTAAACATAGTCGAAGTCGAAGTTTCTTGTTCTGCCTGTTGTGTACGTTATACCCGCTTCGATGTCGTCCTATATAATAGTTGCGAACTCATATGCTCCAAAGGTATCCATGTGAGATGATATAATACAGAGATACAGTGTGCGGAATGATGTTGTCGAAATATCTTTATTCGCCTATTGTTCTCGTTATAAGTCCTTCAAAGTCGTCTCATTTGGTTAGTGCGATCGCATCTGCTATAACTGTAGGCATGTCAGATGCTAGAATGTTAGGTTACAGTGTAAACATAGTCGAAGTCGAAGTTTCTTGTTCTGCCTGTTGTGTGCGTTATTCCCGCTTCGATGTCGTCTCATATGATCGTTGCGAACTTATATGCTCCAGAGGTATCTATGTGAATTGATAAAATACAGAGATTCAGTGTGCAGACTGATGTTGTCAGAGTATCTTCACTTGCCTATTGTTCTCGTTATATGTCTTCTGAAGTCGTCCTATATGGTCAGTGCGATCGTATCTGCTATAACTGTAGGCATGTCAGATGCTAGAATGCAAAGTTACAGTGTAAATATAGTCGAAGTCGAAGTTCCTTGTTCTGCCTGTTGTGTGCGTTATACCCGTTTTGATGTCGTCTCATATGATCGTTGCGAACTACCATGCTACAAAGGTATTTATGTGAAATGTTACAATATAGAGATACAGTGTGCAGACGGATGTCGAAGTATCTTCACTTGTCAGTTGTTCTCGTTATATGTCCCACGAAGTCGTCTTATATGGTCAGTGCGATCGCATCTGCTATAGCTGTAGGCATGTCAGATGCTAGAATACGGAGTTACAGTGTTAGCATAGTCGGGGTCGAAGTTTCTTGTTCTGTCTGTTGTGTGCGTTATACCTGTTTCGATGTCGTCTTATATAATAGTTGCTAACTCATATGCTCCAGAGGTATCCATGTGAGATGATAGAATACTGAGATACGGTATGCGGACTGATGTGATCGAAGTATCTTCACTTGCCTATTGTTCTCGTTGTATATCCTTCGGAGTCGTACTATATGGTCAGTGCGATCGTATCTGCAATTACTGTATGCATGTCAGATGCAAGAATGCGAAGTTACAGTGGAAACATAGTCGAAGTCGAAGTTTCTTGCTCTCCCTGTTGTGAGCGTTATTTTGATTCAGGAAACACTTGACAATGTCTACCTATAAGATGTATAACCGACTTATAATCAAGATTGATAAATTCGAAGTTCTGGCGAACACGCCGGTTTACCGACTCTTGATTGTTGGAATCGAAGTTCTGGTGGATATGAAGAAGTATAGTACTCCACTCACATATAATGAGCTGTCATATATACTTCTTGAATAGGCATTCAAAAAGCTAGAATGCAAAGTTACAAAGTAAACATAGTCGAAGTCAAAGTTTCTTGTTCTGCCTGTTGTGTACGTTTTCCCTGCTTCGATGTCGTCTCATATAATCGTTGCGAACTTCTATGCTCCAGAGGTATCTATGTGAGATGTTAAAATACAGAGATACAGTGTGCAGACTGATGTTGTCAAAGTATCTTCACTCGTCTATTGTTCTCCTTATATGTCCTCTGAAGTCGTCCTATATGGTCAGTGCGATCGTATCTGCTATAACTGTAGGCATGTCAAATGCTAGAATGCAAAGTTACAGTGTAAATATAGTCGAAGTCGGAGTTTCTTGTTCTGCCTGTTGTGTGCGTTATACCAGTTCTGATGTCGTCTCATATGATCGATGCGAACTGATATGCTCCAGAGGTATCTATGTGAGATGATAAAATACAGAGATACAGTGTGCAGACTGATGTTGTCAAAGTATCCTCACTTGCCTATTGATCTTGTTATATGTCCTTCAGAGTCTTTCTATATGGTCAATGCGATCGTATCGGTTTCAACTGTAGGCATGTCAGATGCTAGAATTCAGAGCCACAGTGAAAACATAGTCGAAGTTTCTTGTTCTCCCTGTTTTATGCGTTATTTCCGTTTCGATGTCGTCCCAAATGATCGTTGCGAACTGATATGCTCCAAAGGTATCCATGTGAGATGATAGAATACAGAGATACAGTGTGCGGACTGATGTTGTCGAAGTATCTTTATTTGCCTATTGTTCTCGTTATAAGTCCTTCAAAGTCGTCTCATATGGTCAGTGCGATCGTATCTGCTATAACTGTAGGCATGTCAGATGCTAGAATGCGAAGTTACAGTGTAGACATAGTCGAAGTCGAAGTATCTTGTTCTGCCTATTGTGTGCGTTATACCCGCTTCGATGTCGTCTTATATAATAGTTGCGAACTCATATGCTCCAAAGGTATCCATGTGAGATGATATAATACAGAGATACAGTGTGTGGAATGATGTTGTCGAAATATCTTTATCTGCCTTTTGTTCTCGTTATAAGTTCTTCAAAGTTGTCTCATATAGTCAGTGCGATCGCATCTGCTATAACTGTAGGCATGTCAGATGCTAGAATGTGAAGTTACAGTGTAGACATAGTCGAAGTCGAAGTTTCTTGTTCTGCCCGTTTTGTGCGTTACACTCGTTTTGATGTCGTCTCATATGATCGTTGCGAACTACCATGCTACAAAGGTATTCATGTGAAATGTTACAATACAGAGATACAGTGTGCAGACGGATGTCGAAGTATCTTCACTTGTCAGTAGTTCTCGTTATATGTCCCACGAAGTCGTCTTATAATATGGTCAGTGCGATCGTATCTGCTATAGCTGTAGGCATGTCAGATGCTAGAATACGGAGTTACAGTGTTAGCATAGTCGGGGTCGAAGTTTCTTGTTCTGCCTGTTGTGTGGGTTATACCTGCTTCGATGTCGTGTTATATGGAAGTTACGAACTCATATGCTCCAGAAGTATCAATGTGAGATGATAGAATACTGAGATACGGTATGCAGACTGATGTGGTCGAAGTATCTTCACTCGCCTATTGTTCTCGTTGTATTTCCTTTGGAGTCGTACTATATGGTCTGTGCGTGGTATCTACAATTACTGTAGGCATGTCGGATGCAAGAATTCGAAGTTACAGTGGAAACATAGTCGAAGTCGAAGTTTCTTGCTCTTTGTGTTGTAAGCGTTATTTTGATTCAGGAAACACTCGACAATGTCTACCTATAAGATGTATAACCGACTTATCATCAAGATTGATAAATTCGAAGTTTTGGCGAACACGCCGGTTTACCGACTCTTGATTGTTGGAATTGACGTTTCTGGTGGATATGAAAAAGTATAGTGATCCACTCACATATAATGAGCTTTCCTAAATACTTCTCGAATAGGCATTCAAGAAGCTTGAATGCAAAGTTACAAAGTAAACATAGTCGAAGTCAAAGTTTCTTGTTCTGCCTGTTGTGTACGTTATACCCGCTTCGATGTCGTCTCATATAATCGTTGCGAACTTATATGCTCCAGAGGTATCTATGTGAGATGATAAAATACAGAGATACAATGTGCAGACTGATGTTGTCAAAGTATCTTCACTTGCCTATTGTTCTCGTTATATGTCCTCTGAAGTCGTCCTATATGGTCAGTGCGATCGTAACTGCTATAACTGTAGGCATGTCAGATGCTAGAATGCAAAGTTACAGTGTAAATATAGTCGAAGTCGGAGTTTCTTGTTCTGCCTGTTGTGTGCGTTATACCAGTTCTGATGTCGTCTCATATGATCGATGCGAACTGATATGCTCCAGAGGTATCTATGTGAGATGATAAAATACAGAGATACAGTGTGCAGACTGATATTGTCAAAGTATCCTCACTTGCCTATTGATCTTGTTATATGTCCTTCGGAGTCTTTCTATATGGTCAACGCGATCGAATCGGTTCCAACTGTAGGCATGTCAGATGCTAGAATTCAGAGCCACAGTGTAAACATAGTCGAAGTTTCTTGTTCTCCCTGTTTTATGCGTCATTTCTGTTTCGATGTCGTCTCAAATGATCGTTGCGAACTGATATGCTCCAAAAATATGCATGTGAGATGATAGAAAACAAAGATACAGTGTGCAAACTGATGTTGTCGAATTATCTCTATTCGCCTATTGTTCTCGTTATAAGTCCTCCAAAGTCGTCTCATATGGTCAGTGTGATCGCATCTGCTATGACTGTAGGCATGTCAGATGCTAGAATGCGGAGTTACAGTGTAAACA